CTTATGTCGCTGCCATGTTCGAAAGTAAAAAAAACTATGACAATCCAATGCCCAGCGCACTGATCTATTTGGGCAGTGGCTTGCGTTGACATGGCCTTAATTTTATAGCCACGTCGGGTTAACGAATCTCCACGGCTCCGCATGTTTAGTGCGCGTTTAGCATAAGGATTTGGACCATTAATTATCATATTTCTAGCTGCCTTCAGCCATGCCATGCCTGGGATGAGACAACATGTTGCGTAAAAGAGGAAAAACAACGGCGTTCTACGCAAAAACAATAAGATAGAAATTATTTTATAGAACTTTTAGCACAGTGACATTTCTTTCTGTCGACAGGTGAACAGTGACAGTGTCAATAATTTGTTCTTCCAGCGCCTCATCGTATGTTTGACTCCTTTTCAGGGAATACAGCACGAAGGGGGCGTCTTCAAGAAAATTAGCCGATCATATCCAATTGTGTGCTGTCGCCATACTATGCAAGGCATCAGCTGGCGTCTCCGAATGTTAATATGTATTCTTAACACATCGTCAAACTCTTGATACATGCTTCGAATTCGTTCTTTTTGTTGTTATTGCAGGTCGACTGCTGTGTCATTGCCTTATTCCACAACACGCTACGTAAACGCTCATGAGGGTAGTATTTATCTGACCCCCGAAAGTTTTAGTTGGTGAACAACTCGGTGTTAAGAGAAAGAATAGAGTGATATGTGCCACTGCATTAGACACAGTCTCGAATACAGAGTTGTTCTTATCTCTTTGAACTTTCGTTACATACTAATGTACCCATCGTATCTGCATATTTACGATTAGGAGCAACGCTTAGTACCATATGTGACGAGCTGATGATACTGACGCAACATACATTTCACGCCAATAGTACAATGTTGGTCATCATGCATCTTACTATCAAAAGCACGAACATTAGATGCATCGACCGATTCCCGTATACTCGTTGCAGAGTTTAGAGGTCTTACGGCGAGTCAAATCTCTTGTGTAAAGATACTAGACAAAACCAAATACAGGTATAACTAGGAAGTCTAAGCGGATCCCTCTGTAAGCATGCAATTGACTTGATGTTTCTCCATTCGTCAGGACTTTCAGATTTGCGCCTTTATGAAGTCGTTTGATGATGGTCACAAAGTAAGGCGTACATTGATGCCGTGAGAATATTGCATGATTAAGTATCTTATGTCACAGAAATTTAAGCTTTCTCGAAGTCTAGTACGAAGTATGCATGTCTGGCGTCAAGAAAAGAAATTGTGGTATCCTTACCCTCTTGAACAATATTGACTGTGCCAACCTTAGCCGTCTTCCGATAGTTGCTGTGATGATGTCCTTGCTTGTAAAAATGAATGCTGATTCACTTAGATTTGTGTTACTAAATGTTTTCTGGATAAGATGGATGGTTTCACTGTCCGCATTTTATAGCCAGCATGGAGTAGATATGCTGGTTGATAATCGATCGCATGACTTATTTTCTTAGTCTTTGACCAACATAATCTGCTTGTGAGATAGAGACCAGCTCGGTAAGATATACGACATCTTGTACGACAAAATCAGCACTGGAATATGTATTATGATATATTTTGCGGTAATTTTTATCGCCAACCTTCCTAATAAGGCATCGATCAAGTTGATAGCATCAATGGTCCCAGTTTGCATCAGAAGACTCTTGAATGTATGTCGTAAGCCTTCGTTGTCCTTTGGTACGTAGGAATACAGGGCCAACTAAGGTACCGTCAATTCTAAAATTGGTACACATTGTTTGCTTTTGTATGGGCGTTACGGTGACAATCGTGTTTCAGCAGACCTACACGATATTCTCATTATTTATGGTTTCCTTGTTTAAATATACGAACAGGTATACGATTGAGCGTGGCGCTCTACTTCGACCAATATTACCTTCGTTCGATCGCCGCAATGTTGTTTCGTAGTGCGTAAGCGACAATACGATTATGTTAAGGACTTCAGCATATGTGACCCCTGCAGTCCACAATGTCTCGTGACATGCTGAGAGTATTTTTAGCCAGAATCCTGGCTTCCGTTGGTACGATTTGTACAAGTCTTTCTTGGCGTAAAGTTTGGCCGAAATGGAACCTTTTTGTAATATTTTATAATGTGAAACCACAAAAGCGTTGCGTCAGTTTATACAAAAATGTTGTACGTATCAATTTAAAGATAAAATTTACGGTAATGCTCTGAAATAACTTCATTTACGCGATTTTGTGCGAAAGTGGCGACTGAAACTATTCGAGGCTTCTTTACCATAGAGGGATTTTCTAGCTACGTGAGATGGTTTATAAACCAGTACGTCACACCTGTGCTTGTAAATTGTGTTCTACATCAAGGCTGATTACGTACAAGCTTGGACGTAACGTAAAAACGATATAGTCTACTGAATGCTTTGCCGTAGACTGCAGCCGGGTAGAAATTGGTAAGATAAGATAGGTTTTATAATGAAAAAAAGATGATTGGACATTTTCTTCTGGTGAGCAATTTGACGATAGTATCAATAAGTCGCCACTTGTAAATAAGCTCGCATGATCCAGGCAGGTTGTGTGACGTTGAAGTAGGATAAATGGATCGATCGCTTCTGCCATAGAGAGCACAAATAAGATTCCTTACCGCAGAAAATAAAACAGCTAAAAGTCTAGATCTCAGAGAGGGCATAATAAACGTTCCATAGTAGCGTGGGTGGCCACTGCGTAGATATTGACTCAGTAAACGACATTCTCTGGTTTATATGTTAAATTGCCATGTAATGAGGAGTTAATGAACCGATTCACAACGGAAATTATCGGAAATTACATAATGCATGTGTGGAATATTTAAGGGACGGAAATAGGCCCTGGAAACACATGCTGCAGAGCCTCAGGATGCGTCTCTAGGATGTGTATCCATTAGTACAGAAACATGTGAAAAGGTCCAGCCATGTAACGTATCCTTCCTTCCTGTTACGGGGCAAGCTCTTACCAGATGACTGGTAAGACCTTGTGTTTACATAACACAAGGCTCATACTCCCGACGTCACTTACACGTGACGTGAGGAAGCGCGAGGAAGTAAACAGAACTTGAAGCTCTGTATAAGGAAAAATCAAACTGTGTTTAATACAGTTACGTTTCCTAATAAATCATCTTTGTCTTAGTCGAACTATAATAAACTACAATATCTTATGTGGGTTTCTTGATCACCACCCATTGCGCGCGTCCAAAAGCGATTGGTAATTAATTTGGTTGATGTAGCGTCAACATCAACCAAGAAGTGGAGCACCCAAGAATATTACCATCGTGGTAATATTTTACCAACATTACCTCTTCTCGAGTGATGTTTATTGAATATTATCTAAATAACTAATATTCAAAATTAATACATTCGTATCAATTTTATGCAACGGGCTCATCCCGTTCCACGTCCAAGTTTGTCGCCCTCCCCCTCGACCGGTGCGTGGCTAACTGTTGATCAGAGAAAGATGGGATTTCTGTTTCAGAAGGCTAAAAAATCGTTTTCCAAACGCCCAATAAATGGAAGTGGTACCCTAGGTGATGATATGGCCGACTAAAGAGCCGTTACCGTCTTGCGACGAATCTCAATATAAAGCGTCGCTAGTATATGCATCGTTCCCGATCTCCTCTAATGCGTCAGTCTTCCCTGATGGATCAGGATCCTTAGAAGAGTTGATATCGTCGTGTATGTCTTATCGAAAAGGCAATCCCACTTCGGCCTGAACCCCATTTAGCCTTTACCCTATCGCACTTCTAAGGTATATTATGCCATTCGTTGAATACTTTCATATGATGTGTTGCGTAAAACTGCCTCCCACTTTGATAGACCAATCATTACTATATATTGCAAATTTGTAAACAAATAGCATATGTATAATGCAACACGCATCTGTTCGTTTAAAGCAGGTTTAATCACACCTGTATCATGTATACTGCCATTTCGCATCGTTCATTTCTGGTAGGAGTACTGTTAAGCGTTAGCCGTTGCCATCTGCAACCACCACGTCCCTTACTTATTGTAAATCTCTATTGAATACAGCCATAGCTTGCAGTAAGCGTGACCCTCCCCAAAATGTCCGCCGTGATCTATAGACCCTACCACAGAAGTAGTCCTGTGATATTTAGAGTTCCGCTGTGATGCTGTGATGCCTTCCGAAGTGGTCAGCGTCGGCATATCCGAGAAAGTTTTAGTACTTTAGCTTCCTTATAAAACACCTAGGTGCACGCCGTATCGGAGGTTGCCAGAACAGTTTCTCCTCCGACTTCGCATTGGAACCATATATCGCAGCGGCAGTCGACGATTCCTTCATCGCGATGTTACCATTGAGACCAGTGCCAGACGCAGATTCGTACCCGGAGTAGTTCGGGACGTGTAGCCAGGTGGCTGTAGTCGTAGCCAAAAGACGAATAATAGTCCGGAAAATCTGGGCTACACAGCTTTGACATTATCAATTCAGTGACTGCAGAGGCTGGACTGGTGAGCAAATTTGCTCGCACGAGAAGTTAGATGCCGTGCGTCATGACAATTTCACCATGATGATGGTCATCGTACGAACGACGCGTCGTCAACTACAAATGACATTTGCAACAGCCACTTGGTGTCGGGATTACGGTGTAGACGTACATTCGAATCAGTGGCAGTAGCAGTGCGGATATACTGATTTGTGCTAACCAGAGCTAAGTCCTACACAACGTACGAACTCCGTACATGGTTTTGACCTTTTGATGTGTTGTCCACCATACGGAATTCTGTGACTATTTTGGGGTCTACATGAGCAGATCACTTCGCTGCATATCGGTCTTTATTGTTGACGCCGCGTAGGAGTAAGCTGAATCATTCGGATGTCACAAATGAATAGGCTCAACTGTTTATTTAGACAGCTTTTCCTGGCTCTAGCAACAAAACATTCGCTCTGGTCTGCGATCATATAACACTTTATTATGTCTATGTGCTCATTGCCACATATCAACACCACCCAACATCGCGCGTACGGACCCTAGACGGAAGCGAAAGCTGCCTTGTTCGCCTCCTCCGCAACAGCGGCTTGCTGCAAAATCACTCGCTCGTAGTCGTACGGCATCACGCGCACGAACTTTGCAATAGATGTATCCCAGTTGTCCAGCACCTCCTGCGCCTTGGGAGATTGTGTGCGGTCCAGGTGTTTCGAAAGAAGAGCCTTCAGCTCCTCGATCTCAGTGTCCGACGCAGTTTCAGTCAGCGCGCCCACGCCAACCATGCCCAGATTGCACTTCTTCTCGAAGCTATTGTTTTCGTCGTAAATGTAGGCAATGCCACCCGACATACCTGCAGCGAAGTTGCGACCAGTAGAGCCGAGGACAACCACGCGACCGCCAGTCATGTATTCACAGCCGTGATCGCCCACACCTTCAACTACAGCTTTTACGCCAGAATTACGCACGCAGAATCGCTCGCCAGCCTTGCCTGAGAAAAAAGCCTCGCCACTCGTAGCACCGTATAGCACGGCGTTGCCGACAATCACATTCTCTGGGTTCGCGCGCTCCGAGAAGTCCGGACTCGGGTACACTGACACCTCACCGCCAGAAAGTGCCTTGCCTACGTAGTCGTTCGAGTCGCCCTCCAAGTCAAGACGAACGCCCTTGGCAAGGCCGAACGCCAGACTCTGACCACCGTGGCCCTTCAGCTTTAAGTGGATTGTCCCGTCAGGAAGACCTTCCTCACCGTAACGCTTACAGATCTCATGCGATAGCGTGGCGCCAAGCGTACGGTCCAAATTCGTTGCAACCTCTTCGATCACTACCGGGACCCTGCTTTCCAACGCGTCCTTAGCTTTTGCGATCAGGCGCATGTCAATGCATTTCTCAACCTCGTGGTTCTGCTCAATTTCTTTTTTCACCCCTGCACCCTCATTCAACGTGCTAGCGTTTATCAACAGCGGGGAGAGGTCGAGCTTGCGGCTCTTGTAGTGCAGGGCATCCTCATTCACCTTGAGAAGGTCCGCGCGACCGATCAAGTCATCAAGCTTGCGGAATCCCAGGCGACGCATGTAGTCTTGCACCTCCTCGGCAAGCATAAACATAAAGTTCATGACGTGCTCTGGCTGGCCCTGGAACTTCTTGCGTAGTTCCGGATCCTGTGTAGCGACTCCTACTGGGCACGTGTTCAAGTGACACTTGCGCATCATGATACAGCCCAGAGCGATCAACGGACCCGTAGCAAATCCGTATTCTTCAGCACCAAGCAGAGCAGCAACCATCACATCACGACCAGTTTTCAGCTGGCCATCGGTCTGCAGTTTTACGCGCGAACGGAGATCGTTCAGCACCAGCGTCTGCTGCGTCTCTGCAAGGCCCAACTCCCACGGAAGACCGCCATTTTTAACACCAGTCCAGGACGACGCACCAGTGCCACCATCGTGACCAGATATAGTGATGTGGTCTGACTTGGCCTTGGCCACTCCGGCAGCAACTACGCCGACTCCGACCTCGGACACGAGCTTCACCGACACTTCCGCCGACGGATTCGAGTGTTTAAGATCGTGGATCAATTGAGCCAGATCTTCGATTGAGTAGATGTCGTGGTGCGGGGGCGGAGAGATAAGACCCACACCAGGTGTAGTGTGTCGCATCGAGCCAATGTAATCGCTAACCTTGTGTCCAGGTAGTTCGCCACCCTCACCTGGCTTTGCTCCTTGAGCCATCTTGATTTGTAGTTGGTCCGCGTTTGACAAGTAGTTCATGGTCACGCCGAAACGGCCAGAAGCCACTTGCTTGATAGCTGAACGACGAAGGTTGGGTGGGTCTCCGGGCTTCGTGAAGCGTTTGACGTCTTCGCCACCTTCGCCAGTGTTGCTACGTCCACCAAGCCTGTTCATCGCAATAGCGAGGGCCTCGTGCGTTTCCTGCGATATGCTTCCCAGACTCATGGCACCCGTGTTAAAGCGCTTGACAATGTCAGCGACGCTCTCCATCTCCTCCAGCTTCGGCATCTTGTCCTCATCAACAAACTTGAACTTTAAAAGACCACGCAGGTTCACGCGCTTGCAAAGCTCGTTCGTCTCTTCAACGTACTGTGCGTACGCTTCGCGCGAGTTTTCGCGAGCAGCAAGCTGCAGCGCGACGATGTTTCTAGGTGAATTATAGTGCACCTCCGAGTCGTTGCGAAAGTGGTAGCTGCCTGGATTACGGATCAAAGGCAGCATGTCCGAGTGAAGAGGATAGCCAGCTTCATGAAAACGAGAAATGTCGGTGTACAGCGCCTCGAAGTCCGTGCCCTGGATGCGTGAATTCGTGCCTTCGAAGCACATGCTAATGATATCGTCGCCTAGACCCACAGCCTCAAAGACTTGTGCACCCTTGTAGGACTGAAGCGTAGAAATGCCCATCTTGGACATGACCTTTAGTATACCTTTACCCACGGCAGTGCGGTACTTGCTAAACACCTCCGAGTTTGTCATCTCTCTCTTCGAGTGAGCGTATAGCAGGCCTTCCTCGTTCATCTTCTTTAGTGCCATTTCCGCCATGTGAGGGTTTATCGCGTCAGCGCCAAAGCCTAACAACGTACAAAAGTCGTGCACCTCCTTGGCGTCACCACACTCCGTAAACAGAGCCACGCTTGTCCGCTGCTGCGTTCCGAGAAGGTGCTGATGCACGGCACCAACAGCTAGCAAAGATGGCACCGGGTATCGATTGACACCGGCCAGCTTGTCAGATAACACGATAATGGGAGCCTTCTCGTTAACAAGCGCATCCGTTGCTTGCTCGCACAGGCGGTATAGAGCCTCCACAAGACCGCGAGCGCCACTACCAGCAGAAAATGTAGCATCTAGCACCTTCGGCGTCCAGTCAGGGTTGTTAGTGCTCTTCAGGGCAGCCATTTCGGCGTTCGACATTACGGGGTGTTCCACCATTAGGCGCTTGGCGTGCTCTGCAGTCGCATCAAGCACGTTTGCTGCTGGGCCCACTGGGCACATCAAACTCATGACTAACTCCTCACGAATGGGATCAATTGGCGGATTCGTGACTTGAGCGAATAGCTGTTTGAAGTACTCAAAAGGCAGCTTAGGCTGTTCCGACAGCACAGCCAGCGGCGCATCGTTACCCATGCTACCCAAAGGCTCTTTACCGGTGATGCCCATTGGCATCATGAGTAAGTCCATCGTCTCTGTCGTGAAGCCAAACATGTTCAAACGGCGATTAAGCTCAGCATAATTAGGACGACGCTTAAGCTGCGGTGTAGCCTCCTCCTTGGCTGCAGTCAGCTCCGACAGCGACACGAGGTTTTCGTCCAACCATTTCTTGAAAGGACGGCTCTCACTGACTGACTTCTTCACCTCATCGTCCGACACAATCACGCCGCGCTCGAAGTCCACGAGGAACATCTTACCAGGCTCTAATCGCCGTTTGAACTTAATGTCTTTTTCCGACAAGTGCTCTAGCACGCCAATTTCACTAGAAAGAAGGACGTGGTCGTCTTTCGTGACGTAGTATCGGCTCGGGCGCAGGCCATTGCGATCCAGCGTGGCGCCAATGTACTTGCCGTCCGTAAACGCCATCATGGCTGGTCCATCCCAAGGCTCCATGAGCAGCGACTGATACTTGTACATATTCTTCTTGTGCGAATCAATCAGCGGATCGTTCTGCCAGGCTTCCGGAATCATCATCATCATACCTTCCGGTAGCGACCGGTTACACGAACTGGCCTTGGTCAAAATCTCCAAAACAGCATCAAAGTTGCCGGAGTCCGACTTGGAGTCTGAGCACACGGGCAGTAAATCCGATGTGCGGTTACCAAAGTACGAGCTGTGCAAAGTGCCACCGCGCGCATACATCCAGTTCTTGTTGCCACGCAGCGTGTTGATCTCGCCATTGTGACACATGATGCGATTCGGCTGCGCGCGGTCCCACGACGGAAACGTGTTGGTAGAGAATCGAGAGTGCACGAGCGCCACGTACGACGTAAAGTCCGCAGCCGAGAGATCGTTGTAGTACTCAAACAGCTGCTCCGGCGTGAGCTGACCCTTGTACGTGATCGTGCGATTGCTCAGCGAGTTGACATAAAAGTCCGAGAACTTCTTCTCGTTCACAGACGTGACGACGTTGCGCAGTCGCAAGAGCTCCTTCTCAAACTCGTCGCCGGACAGCTCGGGGTTCTCGTTCAAGATCATGACCTGCTCGACGTGCGGCTCCGACGCAAGCGACGTGGCGCCCAGCGTCGTCGACGTCGTGGGCAGCACGCGCCAGCCGGCGACCCGGAGGCCCATGGCTTCGGCCATGTCGTCAAACGTCTTTTTGGCCAGCGGGATCGCGTGCGGCGCGCTCTTGTTGAAAAAGACGTTGCCCACGGCGTACGACTCCTTCTCGAGCACCATATGGGTCGCCGCGGCGCCAAACTCGCCGGCCATTGCAACGCGCTGGATAAACTCGTGTGGCAGCGCGACCAACATGCCCGCGCCATCGCCGGACGCGGGGTCGCAGCCACAGCCGCCGCGATGCGACATGCGCACGAGCATCTCGTTGGCCTGGACGACCGTAGCGCGCGACGGCTGTTTCTTGAGGCTCGCGATCATGCCCACGCCGCAGCTGTCCTTCTCCTCGAGCGGGCGGTAGAGTCCCTTTTGCTGGAAGAGCGCGCGCTTGTCGGCGCCTGGGCCGGGGAGCGAGCGGAAGCCGCGACGTCGGAAGAACGACCCGACCGAAGGCGACGAGTCGTGTGCGAGTGCGGCCGGGGCGTGGCGCGCGCACCCGAGCGAAGAGGACACCGAAGCGGCGGCGCGGCGGTGGAGGCGGAACATGCCAACTTGAGAAGTGAGCGGCGCGATCCAGTGCGGAATGCGGAATGTATGTGCAACGGCGGACGCGGCTCACGTTGCCCTTGCTGTTTGGATGCAGAGGGGCGGGCGGGTTGCTTGCGGTGGCTGAAGTAGAGCGAGCAGAAACAGGACGAGGAGGGGATATTGGCCAATGGGATGACTACAAGCTGCTCCCGTGCGCGCCGCAACGTTGCGAAAGGGGGTGGGTGGGGGCTTGACCCGCGTGAGGTGTCCCTCCGCCATCCGTTTCACATGTTACACAGCGAGAGACACGACAGTGTGTCGATTCAAAATGGTACAGAGACCAATGATCTCCTCTGTCTGTGTGCTTACAGGGCGGACAAGCTATGTGTCATTTGTTTGCGTCCATTGCTGTGCCAAGAATGGTGCTGTCTTGCTCGGGGTATGATTCGAGCAGGTGGCGTTCGTGACTTGCGTCTACGATGCCGCTGTGCGCCAATGTTGACATTTAGTTGTCCTCGGTGTATGATGAGACTGTTGTATGGACAGATTTGGTAGTATTCTTACGGAAAGAGCTCCTTTCTTGGCGATTGATTGATAGTCTTTAACAGTAATCGCAAATATATTTTAGTGTTGATCACGAGTAAATCGTCGACAATCCGTCATTTTGCTGTTCAGCGACTTGTCACCCAGATGGATATAGCTGACACATACATGAAATGCCTTGATCAGCAAGTCCTGGAAAGAGCAAGATCGCAGCTTGCGTGAGGATGAGAGTGTCGAATTGCAGCAAGACATCGGCTGAGTCCCCGTGGGCTAGAACTTCAAGCGGACAAAGTCAGCCCGGGCAGCGACGCGCCAAATCAACCAGGCAAAAAGTTGACAAGCAGTTGCGGTGGCTGCTTTGATATTAGCATACTGACACAAGGTCTAGATATGCGGCGACGCAGTTGTTTCCATGAGGTTCATACACGCTGGTCTATCTGCTATGACTACGCATATGTCAGGAGGCAACGAACACGCTCGTAACAAGAAGCTTGGGCTTCGGCCTAGAGTGCAGCACGTGTTCCATTTCACGCTCTTGTACCGGGCTGGATTACGTTGTGGGTTGAGGTCTGGGCAAATACAAGTTTAATGTCCACGTCTTCAACTTGAACGTTGAACGTGGGCAATAGTGTCACCTAGTCAAGACTCAGGCAGCAAAAGTGTTGATGTGTAGAGCAATTGGCAGATAATAATAGGATTTGCTGCGCAGGGTAGTACAAGTACTCCCTAGATGCGGTACAGCGGTAAAAACGCCTCATACATTACATGCTCGACTGGACAGAAAGTGCTGAAACTTGCGGTGGAGTCACCCAAGCGCTTTTGTAGCTCACTTTGCCATCCGTATCATGTTGTTCTCCTTCGACTTGACTTCTCTGTAGTCTTGACAAACGTCTCCTCGAAGCGACAGATCCCGATTCTGGGGCAACTGCCAGCTGCGCTACGTCTCTGATCGCTGGACTAGATCGCGCCAGTAGCATGACACTGCAAATCAGAGATACGTCATCGAGTCCGATCGTATTGAGCAGCGTGGTGTTGCATTATCTGTGACACTAGATGAAACCGTGTCACATGCACTCATGTTTTCTGGGAACCCAGCTTGGACGAGCTGACTACCAACCAACGGCATGACCATTCCCCGTTGCAGCCACCGATCGTTATTCGGCCCTACTCTAGCCGGTGTGTTCAGCTTGATCTGGGCGTAACAATCAATACTTGGAGTACGACGGATCGTCTGCCTGAGTGCGACTATTTGCTATCAATGCAGGACAGTCGAATTTGAACGAGCCCTAATGATGAACGCAGAGAAATAAAGCGCGTCACAGTATGTTCGATTGAGCTGTCGATGGCAAAGCTTAGGAGGCTCTGCGTGTACGTCCCCCACTTTTTTTCAGGCACGTGTGAGCAGCGTAATTGATGTTTGTGTTGCAATAGAATCCAAACTATCCTCTTAGCCGACTCATCGACGTCCAATCAAGGATTGTTTTGACTACACGAATCGCTTACAAACGGCGAGAAAAGCAAATGGTCCTGGTCGTTTTTAAGATTGCTAGCTGTTGTTGTCCTCACCCCGTTGTATCTCATCTCGCAAACGTGTCATGTCTGTAACACAAATGCAAAAAGCAGATATAAGGATGGGAAATAAACATACGGAATAAGTGAGGAATAACAACGTTTCAACAAGATTGTAAAAACAAGATTGAGTTACGTATCTCAACATTGAACACAACGTTGACGAATTTCAAAATGTGAGCAAGAGAGATACATTGCGGACGAATGCAAACTCTTCATGTGCACCTCTGGTCCGGCATATAACAAGGGTATCACATGTTCTATCGGTTGGTGACCCCCAACCTAAAATTCCGGTGCGGTCTCGCATAAGCAAATCTGCGTCTTCATGTTTGAAGAAGCAAAGATATGCGCGGCATGAATTATAATATTACCTCGTCACGGGAATACGCTTTTATTCGCGCACACAACACAAGTACCCACAGAAACTACCATTCATGCCGCATGATGACATCATGCATGAGGAATCTAGCTTATACATACGGACAGTTAATGCAATGACAGATGTAGACGTGACAGTTGGCAGTTACATGAAGCCGTTAGTTTGAGCACGAAATGCCTTACTACCTACCTTCTGGATGCATTCTCACATATACCCCATTCTCGACAAGCCTTTCAATCAAGACTCGCGGAGCCGATAGCCGCTCTTCCAGCTAAGGGCTTGGCATGCCTCTTTGTTTTTGCTTGTCGTCGCTGTTCATCGCGGGTACTGAATCGCATAAGTCACAAATGGAACAGACGTGGATAAAAGAGCTAGTGGCATTAGAACATGAATGGGCTTGTGCCAAATATCATCTTAATGGAAGAAGGCGCATACAGTAAGACCTTACAGAATTGTAATTGACACAAAAGTATTATAGTTTTCTGGTTTGATTGGACATGTGTCAGACGCAGACGGTTGTCCATGTTTCATTCGCGACGTAGTCGGCCTCGCAGTGTCCGTATAACACTGTGCTGATCGCTTCGTGCAAGTTCTGTATTCTGTGGCAATTTTTTATGCGTGTTGGCAGTTCCCACAATAAAGAGTAATTGACCAGCGGCAAATATTGCTGTCGTAATTACCGTATTCAGTCTGTAACGTAATATTTAGAACTGTGTTTAATATCGTCTTCATAAAAATTCTACCTGCTACTACACGTATTTGCTGCCGTCTCCCACAATGCACAACATCAACTTCCCGCTGAGACCTGACAATTTATTTACATTCGTAATGATAAGGAGGTGGAGACCCCCTTCACATCATGGAAGTTTGCATTCATCAGTTGGCATCCGTCGAAGCTTTTCCTCGTCGTACAGCGGACACTCACCCATAATATTGACCGCCGGGTAAAGTTTTGTCTTCCCACTGGTATACTTCACACAGCAAAAACGATCTGACTTCATCGATGGCCACGAAGCTTAGATATATGAAGTTGCTATATAAATTGCCATGGCACGTGTATGTATGTCCACAACACAATCTGCATTTTTTCGATGTCCCAGACGGGCATGTGTGTATTTGTTTACTAGGTAGACGCATACCTCCTTGTTGCATTTCCATCCTTTTCGAATAAGCTTTCTCGATAAAATATATTTTTGGTTTCTAATCTGGCGAAATTGGCTCGCTTTTTTCTCGAGTATGTTAATACGAATTTATCTTCCCTGCGAAAAAAACAGTAGTCTGATGTCTCTATGCTCAAACCAAACATTACGCGCACGAATAAGAGGATCGAAATCAGCTGCAGGACGACGATTGCGGGAGTGTCACGGGCGTCCACTGTGACGTCGGAATCGAGCAAATTTTAATCCTATCAAATAGAATCTAATGTATTTTGTACAATGCAAATTGGTGGGGAAAAACCAAAAGCGGATATTACGCGCAGAAGTGACCGAGAATTCACGTGCTCTCAATCACCACTGCGTTACAGTCAGTGCTCCACAACAGACTAGGATTTAGCATGCGCTTACCTCACACACGTCTGAAACGTTAGATAGCACTTGCTATGAATGAGCTAGCTCTGGAGAAAGCCGTGCAAGGGTGAAAATGGCATTGTCATGACGTTTGTTGACAACGTATTACATGTGCTTTACCAGCCAACTATCTACATGTGCCAAAGCATGTTCGTATATAACCTGCTAATAGGCTGAGATTATCACAGTATCTTTGACTTCTCAAAACAGAGCCACCGTGTCTGCTTTCCAGGTCATCGATATCGTTTGTAGGGATTTCTGATATCCCAACTGCAGGAAGCAATCCACGTAATGATGTTTAGCATCCGAAGCCGTCAGTCGAAAGGGTATCTTGCTAAGCATTGATTACGCAATGCGACAGTCGAAAGGGTACCCAGCTAAGCATAAATTATCGAATATTGGTCCAGAACTGCTGGCGTGGCGTGTTCGAGTGCAACGATGCGTGCAGTCAGAGGTTCAAGCATTGCTGTATGTACTCAAACCGTCTGCGGCCGTCTCGATTTGCTTGCCTTGTCTTATTCCGTATCGTTGAGCTTAACGCTTGCACTGAATGCCCCTTCCACTACCTTCGATTTCCTAAGAATGGACGACAAATGAACGTGCCTTTTGTACAAGTTGTAGCATCAAGAAACGGTGCATAAGTAGCTTTGTACGCCAGACAGCTTCAGCATTCGAAGCGTCTCTGGACGCTAATGCCTGACAAAGCCAACAACCGTACATGGACCCTATACCATGATACCGACAGCCAAAGGCATAGATGATCAAGACGACTTTGTAGTGTGAAAGTTAGCTCTGATTACGCAAGACGAAGTGCCACGAGTCTAGCCGGGAAGTAAAGCAAGTATGATTACCCAAGCAAGTAAGAAAGCTGCTCTTGTTCGTGCCGCGCACCGCAATCACGCCAACGTGGCAATGGTAGTAAAGCTGGCGGAAGAGAGGCATTTTTCGCAGCAACAGCC